TGGAACAGCCAGGACTCGAACTGGCACTCGTATGGGATGCTGGCATCGCAGACGGTGGCTTACCCTACTGCACCACAGGGCCAGCAGAGCACAGATCTTTAAGAGGGAAAGATGAGAATTGAAATGCCACCGGGAGCAGAGGCCAGATGGGAGGGGCTGAGATGCATGTGTTATAAAGCATGGTCGTCGAAAATGGGGTGCTACATTAGGGAGGGATGGTCTCAGTGGGGGCGGGACTGTGACCTCGGGTCACTGAACCCAGTACTCGGGGCACACTCGGTGCCGGTGGAGAGAGAGACGTTCCTGTGTGGTTTAGTCATCAGCTTTCCCAAGACAGGGGCGGGCGGAGGTTATTCCACATCTGGGCCGTTCAGTGAAGGCTCAGAACTCCTTGGAGGGCTTAGAACCAGCCCTGGGACTGGCCTGGAGCCTGGCAGTTGCAATTTTCCTTTGGAAGGACCTTAGCCAAGCTTCCCCAGTGTGGGCACAACGCAGAAGTTAAAAAATAGACCGCCTTGCAAATGCATCTACGTGGGGACTCGGCTCAGAGCTCCGCAGGCCCCAGCTGTCCCACCGGCCCGGGGCCCCCACTCCCACCCCAGGCCCCTTGCTCTTGACGCCCACAGCTGAGAAAGCTGAGTTTGAGCCCCCCAAGAACTCCTGGCAGGTGAACCACCTGCACGACGCAAGATGAATTTGGATGCCAATTGGATGAGAAAGTATAGTTAGTTTCAAATGTATGGGAATGCCTGTTGGGATAACCCGGCAGCCGTCTGTCTGGAGGACAAGGACTCAGGTGCGGCTGGTGTGTTTGGGGGTGACTCCGGTGAGAGGGGAGGTCAGGGCAGGAAGGCACATAGGCAGCACAGGCGCATGATTAAGCGGGGCCCCTCTGTGGGCAACGGGCTCCCTCCTGCTTGGACCCTCTGAGGGCCCATGAGCTGAGCCTGCCCCGGTGACGCCACCTGTCTGGGCTGCTGTGCTCACACTCAGTGCAGGCGAGCTGGAGCCACAGTGGGCTGATGGCCACCGGGGAGGGGTCCTCCTGGCCACACCTAAGCCCTCCCCTCAGGGTGTGAGTGGGGGGGGGCTCCCCCACAGGAAGTGCTTCCTGCCTCCCCGAGGTCACCCAGCAAGGAAGAGCAAGGGACACACACACACACACACACACACACACACAGATCTTCCATTCCCTGGTCTACTCCCCAAATGGCCACAACAGCCGGGGCTGCCACAGGTTGAAGCTGGGAGCTGGCAACTCAATCCAGGTCTTCTACATGGGCCATTCCTGCTGCCCCCCGGGGTGCACATTAGCACCCCAATATGAGATGTGGGCATCCTAACCGGGGTCTTGATGCCGGCCCCAGAATCCCTACTTCTAGCAGCCTCTCTGGTCTGCTTCACCTGTGAGAGCCCCGGGAGCCTGATTCAAGGCTCTGTGTCCCACCCCACCCCCAAACACATCAGCTCACCACGTACAGAGCTTCAGCTGCGAGGACGGGGAGCTAGAGCCGAGGGTGGAGTGCACCTGAGGCTCTCACGGTGTCCCAGGCACGGAGTCGCTGATCCAGGGAGGAAGTCACGTCCCACGTGGGACCTGTGCACATGGCGGAAGCCTGGGGAGGGGGTGGCTCATTCTGCAGAGGGCAGAGGGAGGTAGGGACACTGGGGGCGGGGGGACGGCCAGGGAGAGACAGGTGAACACTGGCCTGGAACAGGAGATAGGAAACAGGTATGGAGAGCCTTGAATGCCCGCAACGTCTGAGTTCCACCGAGCTGGAGGGGGACTCGGGGCTGGCAGAGGCCTCCTCGCTTGGGACGGTGACAGCGGCCACTGCCCCCTTCGCAGCCCCGCCTCCCCGGCTACAGCCAGTGGCGGTGCACCTTGCTCAGGTGGCTCCGGGAGACTTGTCTGCATCTTAGCCAAAGGCTTGGGAATGGTGGGATGGGCGGACGGAGGCCTCCCCACCCCAACCCTGGCTCCCCAGGGGCTGGACTGCGCCCTAGCAGGACACACAGACCCTCTGCTAAGCTCTGTGGCTCGGGGCTTGCTCGACGGAGGCACACCGGCCTGATCACGACCGGAAGCACTGGCGTTGCATTCACGGCACGTATTTCGCACAACCTCCCTGTGAACTTGGCCTTGGGAGTGCACCTTCCAGACATGAACAGAAAAAGGGAGAGACCCACTGAAGCTACCCGGCTGGCCCAGACCCAACAGGGGACCACGCCCAGCTCTGCATCCTTCCGAGGTGTGCTCAAAGGCCAGCAGGCGGGCTGGTGGTCTGCGCCAGATGGTTTGGAGGTGACCTGTGGGTGAAAATGTTAAATTAGATTAGCTGTGGATTTGTCTGAATGAGGACTGGAATAAACACATAAACCGACAGCACTTCTTGCTTAGGAGGAGAAAGCTTGAAAAGGAACTTGGCTGGGAGAGCAAGATTGGTGTAAGGGGGTCCACGGCTCTGTGATGATGGCGAGGGAGGATGCTGGGGGCGCCCGGCACTGCCCTTGGTGACCAGGCTCTCTCTTGAGGGAAACCACCCGACCTGGGAGCCCTGCCCACTGCACCACACTGCCCCGTGGCCACTCAGCAGATGCCAGATGCTCTCTCTTGCACAAAACACTAACGCCTTTAAGTTTCTGCGAGCCTCAGGTGTTTGTGGAATCAGGGCGAGGGCTGGCGGGGCCCCTCCTGGCCGCCTGCCTGACTCGTGAGTGACCCAACCAGGAGGCTCCTCTGTGCGTTTTTCCCCCTGGCCCACACGGGACACACTGTTCCCGGCGTTGGGTCCTGGGGAAAAACGGTTCCCATGTTAAAAACACAAATATTGATTTTCTTTCCTCCATATATCTGCTGGGCTTCCAGGGCACCCTTTACCGCCCCCTCTCTGCACCGTACACCCTTGGGCCTGCCATGGAATGTTGAACTTGACCTTCTTTTTTTGGAACCCGGAGCCACTGCTGAAAACTTAACCTGCAGCAGCTTTCTGTGGCTCTGCTCGTGAGGGGAGGCAGCGGCCCAGAGTCGGCGCCTGTGTCCCGCCCGGGAGAAGACCATAGACCTGCCATTCAGACGCGGGCCTCAAAGAGCCGTTTCACAGGCACAACCGCCGCCGGCCAACGCGGCAGGTCTGCCCTGCTCTCGCGACCCAGCTCTGCCCAGCACGGCGGGGCCAGCCGGCCAGGGGAGCCCAGCTCCCGCTGTGCACCTTGGGCAAGGCTGCCGGGAGAGCATGCCGGTCGCCCCGGCTGCAGGGGGCAGGAATCCCATGGCCGCAGCTGGGTTTTGGAATTGGGCACAAAAGAAACTCGAACGGGAAAAGTCAGAGGGAGACCCGTTAAACTTCCTTCCTTCACACTGGGGGCGAAGAGGCTCGGCTCTGTCCCTACATGGGCCAGGGGGTGTCTGGGGCTCAGCTGCCCCATCTGACAAGTGGGTGGATGTCCTCGGGCTTGCAGGAGGTACAAAGGGGACGCGATGACAGAGTGCGTGACTTTGCTGTGTCAGGTGGGGAGGGGACAGTGGCGGCTGAGGACCGTGGGCAGCTGCTGCCAGGTCTGCTCTGCCCGGGGAACATGTTTTAAAACTGCCTGTGCGTTCCCTTGGATGGAGACATAACCTATGTGGAGTGAATCACACAAGTCTCCAAATGGGAGGAACCTGGCCCCTGGAGCAGTGCTCATCCTGACCCCATGTCCACGTCTGTCGTCACCTCCTCGAAGGGTCCTGCTGAGGCAGCAGGTCTGGGGCTCCCACTCCCGCAGCACGGGGATAAGCTGGGGGCTCAGAGAGGGTAAGTCACCAGCTCCAGCTCACACAGCCCATGAGCACAGGATTAGCTTTCAACCTGGGGGGGGGGGTGTCTCAGGTGGCCACGCCCACACTAGTTCTGCTCTACCCTGCCCCCCACTGGGCCCACATGGGCAGGAAGGGACCACTGCTGGTACGTCTTAGCAATGTGCCCATGTGTCTGCCTCCTCTGTGCTGGGCCAGGACACGGAGCTGAGCACCTCAGACATTTACCAGCTCACGGGCGAACAGATCAGACAGGGAGCACACAGAGTGGGGCACGGAGGAAGCACCCCCAGCTGGCTCCACCCAGCTCCACCCAGCTCCACCCAGCTCCACCCAGCCCCACCCAGCACGTGTGAGCAGGCAGCGGGGCTCAAAGGGCGGAAGACGCTCTCACTGGCTTTAGACGAGTCACTTCAGCTCTCTGAAGTGTCACTGTCAGTCCCTCATGTGGGAAATGACAGTGGAAAGAGGCGCTGCCTCCAGGGCTGACGTGGGGACGCGCTGAGCCGGTTCCCCGCACCCTCCCCGCATCTTCCCTGCAGCCAGGCACCTGCGCCAGCCTTGTTTCCACACAAGGATGTTGAGGCACAGAGCGGCCAAGGAACTTGCCCACGGTCACACAGGCAGTGTGCAGCCAAGCCGGGTAACCTGGCTCCCGGCCACCCTCCTGCGTGTCCTGCACATACCCGGGGTGAACGTGTCCATGGCAGTCATGACCCCTTCTGCCAGGCAGAGCCGGCAAGAGGACGGGTCGCCCCGGCAGGTGCCCTGCACGTGCAGAGGCCTGGCCAGTACCTGCGGAGCAAGGCACGGGTGGAGACCGAGGAGGGGACGTGTGTTTAATGTGGAAACTGAGGTTGAATTCCGGGGGAGAGGAGAGGGTTTGGGTGTAAGACCAAGGTGCAGGGCAGGGCTGGGGCAAGGCCACTGGACGCAGGGACCGCTGGGCTGGGGTGGCAGCTTCAAGTCTGCCTGGGCTCCAGCCCCTGGGGGAGCCACCCCACCCACCCGAGACTTCCTGAATTCCAGCTGTGGCTCTGGTTGCTTCTGCAGGCAAAGGAGCCCTTGTGGTGGCAGGGGCCCAGGCCGGGGAGTGCTCCCTCCCTCTGCAGGCACACACACCTCCATTCAGCAGGGCCCCGCCCCCAGCGCTGCCCCCACGTCAGTGGGGGGGGGCGCCTGGGCAGGGAGGTTGATAAGGCTGGGACCCTGCTGGCCCCCCACAACCGTGCCGCCTGCTGCCCTCGCTGCCACAACCATGAGGCTCCTGTGCCGCTCCAGCCTCTTGCTCTGCACGCTGCCGCTGCTGCTCCAGGCCACAGGCGGCCTTGGCCTCGTCCCCCAGGCCAGAGGTGAGGGGCTTGTGTGAGGCGGGAGACACTGGCCGAGTGGTCCTGATCGCCCAATGGGCAGAGGTTACGTGGGACCCAAGATGGGGAGGGGCGGGGGCAGGCGCAGGAGCAGACAGGAGACCGTGATGCTGATGGGGGTCGGGGTTGGGCAGGGGGCTCCTTAAGCCTCCGGGGCCTTCTGCGGCAGCTGCCGTCACAGAGCCGGGACATCTGGAGCTGCCACACGCAGGCTGAGCGAGCACGGAGCTGGGGGCCCAGAGCATGGGTTTCTAGGGGCTGCGCCAGCCCAGAGTTTCAGCCTTGGGCACTGGACCCTACAATGCCCAGCTCTGCCTGTGCAGCTGGGGACAATGAGGCTGGGGAGGGCGGGGCCTGCCACCACTCAGCCCCGGTGCCTCCAGGCTCCTGATCTGCTCTCCCTCCCTCCCTTAGCTACAAGTATGGCTACTCCCACAGTCTCTGGAGGAACTCTGAGAGGGGGTCCCAGCCTGGGGCACCAGCACTGGGGGTGGGGGCGGCTCTGCACACCTTGTTTCCAACTTTGCAGCCTCATCTGGAGCTGCCCTGCTCTGCTTGGTCTCAGCGTCAGAAGGGGGAGGGGCTGAGCCGGTGACAGTGTCACCTGCAGGCTTCCTTCTCCCCATTGGGCAGATGAGAACATAGAGGTTCCGAAAGACGCAGCGACCTGTCCACGGCTCTGGAAGCAGCCGAGTCAGGATTTGAACCCAGGCCTGCCTCACTCTACCTCTGTGAACTTCCCACAGCTGGGGGTCTGCAGAGACATGGCTGCTTGGGGGTGTGTTGGGGCCCACCTGGTCAGGCTGCTCCTTTTCCGTTTTTGGACACCAGCCGGCTCACGTGGGGTGTGCTCGTGGCGGGCACTCCACCGCTGGAGGGCCCACCCTGCCCTGGGCAGTGCCCGCCTGCCCAGCGAGCACAGCCGCCCTCATCTCTGGCAGCAAGTCCGGCAGGGACCCCTGGACACCAGCCCCGTGCGGGCCTCTGGCCTGCACCTGTGCCCACCTCGAGGGCTCCTGGGGAAAAGGGATTCGCAGGTCACCATGCAGCCGAGGATCGTGAGAGGTGGCGCGAGTCGCTCAAGGCCAGGACTGGCCCCTGGCTCTGTCCCCGCAACGGGCTGGGCCCGGAGGCTTTGGCGTGCTAGCCCCAGAGGCCACGCCCAGCTCAGCTCAAGTCCACGGCCGACTGCACCCATGGCGGCTCTTTTGACCTTGCCCCCTCCTCTTCGCTGTCTCCCCCCATCCCTCCCCCGCGCCTCTCCCAGGACAGCTCTGCCGGACGCGGCCCACGGATCTGGTGTTTGTGGTCGACAGCTCTCGCAGCGTCCGGCCCGTGGAGTTTGAAAAGGTGAAGGTGTTCCTGTCCCAGGTCATCGAGTCTCTGGACGTGGGGCCCAACGCCACCCGGGTGGGCGTGGTCAACTACGCCAGCGCAGTGAGGCAAGAGTTCCCGCTGCGGGCTCACGGCTCCAAGGCCGCCCTGCTGCAGGCCGTGCGCCGCATCCGGCCGCTGGCCACCGGCACCATGACGGGCCTGGCCATCCAGTTCGCCATCACCAAGGCCTTGAGCGACGCCGAGGGTGGCCGCGTCACGTCCCCAGGCATCAGCAAGGTAGGCGCACAGCAACCCCCCTCGCCCCCTTCTGCGCATGCTCGCAGCTCTAGCGCCATTCAGCGAGGTGGACCTTCTGCAGAGGGCGCGTCTAAGGTCCTTAGTCAGAGATGGCCGCTGCGCTCACCTTGGCCCAGCCCTGACTCCAGCTCACAGCCTGCGAGCGCTGGACCATCTCGGTGTAACTGACCTTGGCAGCCCAGCCCGCCTGGCCAGAGCGAGGGCTCCGCCCACAGCCGTGCACCATGGCGCTGCCTCCATCGCCCCGGGCACAGAACCGGATCCGCGATGACCCCTTCCCAGAGTTCCGCGGCGAGGACCGCGGACGGACGACAAAGTGCTCCCGCGACATGGCTAGCTGCCGTTTAAGTCCTTTGAGGGTGGGGGCGCTGGGAGGGGCAGCCATGGGTCCCCAGTGCCACAGCCAGCGGTGGCTGAGGGTTTTACTCACATTGGGTACTCAGCACCAGGCCTCTGAGGCCGGGTCAGGTGTCCCCCCCCCCCCCCGCCGTGGTCCCCCATCGCAGCACCCTGGGCCTGCGGAGTCACCATGTGCCTTCCCAGGGCCCCAGCCAGGGGACAGCCTCACCCGTCCCCAGTCTTGAGTACGCGCGGACGAGTCAACACAAGTCTTCTGGGAGGTGGCGTCCCCAACTTACAGACAAGGAAACCGAGGCATGGTGCACCTAAGCAACTCGCCCAGCTAATCCGGGGCGGAAGTGATAACGCAGTCAGCAGAGTAAATGCCAGCCACTGCCACCCCTAAAGAAACGCCGAGGCGGGTGGCCGGGGCTCCCGTGAGGTTGCTCACAAGGCCCAGGAGGAGGTGCCGGACCGCACAGCTGAGTGAGCCCAGCTGGTCCCAAAGGACGGAGAGGGACGAGGCGATAGGGGTGTGGCTGGCACGTCTCTGCCAGCAGGGTCCTCCCAGCTCAGGGCATCGGCCTGGGGGTGGGGGGAGTGAGGTCAGAGCTCCTGCAGGGGAGGATGCGACAGAGGACACGGGCAGTATCATCCCGGGCTGCGGCTCCAGGACAGTGGCTCAGGCAGTGTGACCAGTCACAGCGAGGTTGTCAGTGCCCTGGGGACCCGAGCGGAGTGCGTCTCGGGGGTTGAAGGAGGAACCAGAGCCCCGCGATGAGCCTCAGCGGAGGAACAGAACACAGGAGCCTCGGGGGAGGGCGCAGACGCGGCACGTTTCCTCCCCGGAGAGGAGGGAGCAAAGGGCGGCATCTTCCGCGGGTTGGTTCCTGGGCCTCCCGGTGGGCGTGGTGCTGCAGGACAGGGCGGGGAGGCAGCCCCATTCGTTAGTCTCTGCCGCCCTCCGGTGGCCGCATGAAGAACTGCACGACGCTGGGAGCTCCCGGTTCGGTCCTGCGGGAAGTCCAGGGCCAGTCGGGTTCCCCGCAGCCTCCCGCCGCGCGGGGAGACACCAGACCGTCCTCTGGCTGAGGGAGGGGGAGACTCCCGGGCTCCGCGTCCGGCGTGGAAATGCCTCCGCCTAGTCACCCAGGCCCGTCCGGGCCCGTCCTCGCGGCCGGACCCCTGCGGCCCCCCGCACCTGCACGGCCGGCCGGCAGGTCCCTCCGCCTCTCCGGCCGCCGTCCCGCGGGGCTTCCCCCGGGGGCAACGTCCGAGGGCCGGCCTCTCACGCGCCGCCGGTGCCGCAGGTGGTCATCGTGGTGACGGACGGGAGGCCGCAGGACAGCGTGCGGGACGTGTCTGAGCGGGCCCGGGCCAGCGGCGTCGAGCTGTTCGCCATCGGCGTGGGCGGCCGCGTGGACAAGGCGACGTTGCGGCAGATCGCCAGCGAGCCGCAGGACGAGCACGTGGACTACGTGGAGAGCTACAGCGTCATCGAGAAGCTATCCAAGAAGTTCCGGGAGGCCTTTTGCGGTGCGCGGCGGCGGCCGGCGAGGAGGGAGTGCGAAGGCCGAGGGCGTCCGCGACGGGAGGGGGCGGGGCCAGGGAGGGGGCGGAGCATAAGAACCGGTCGGGGCGGGCCCGGGGCGGGGCCAGGGATGGGCGGGGCCAGGGCGGGGGCGGGGACTGATAGGTCTCAGCAGAGTGTATGGTGGAGGTATACGCTATGTCCACGGCGTTTAACGAGTGTGTGTTAGGCGTCTTCTACGTGCTGCGTGCTATTTAAGACATCCGGGGTACAACAGTGACCCGGACATTTAAAACGCTGCCCCCGTGGCCTTTCCCTTTTCGATGGGATTTAAAATTTTCCTCATCAGCCTCGTGAGCTCATTTCTCAGCTGGGCCGGGAGCTGGGGCAGGGGGGCTGCGCTCTACCCAGTGGAGGGTCTCGGATTTCCTGGGTGTGCCTGGTGCCCCTGTCGGGGAGGGCGTCCTGGCTGAGCCTCTGAGACCTGCGCCCCTGTTCTCCCCGCAGTGGTGTCAGACCTGTGTGCCACGGGCGATCACGACTGTGAGCAGGTGTGCGTCAGCTCCCCGGGCTCCTACACCTGTGCCTGCCGCGACGGCTTCACGCTGAACAGCGACGGCAAGACCTGCAACGGTCAGTGGGCCGCACCCGGGGCCAGCAAGCCCAGGGAGGCTGAGGAGGGGACCGGATGGGGCTGGGCCACTCGCTCTTCTGAGCCTCCCTGCTCTGTGTCTCTGGCCCAGAGCAGACAGAGGCTTTCGCGGATTCCGTGTCTGCAGGCCGGGCTGCCCTGAGCCCTGGCTCCTTGCATCACAGTGGGGCTAGCGTGTGCAAGGAAGCCCACGGTCTTGAGTTCAAATCTCAGTGCCACCGCGTCTGAGCCGTGTGACTCGGGCGGTAGCTGTTGGAACTTCAGTTTCCAGCGCTGTGAGATGGGACTGGTCCCGCGGCTCTATAGAGGGAGATCTGGGACAAAATCGCACGGTCCTCGTCAGAGCCAGGGGTGAGGCGGCGGCCTGCCGGGGGCCGGGATGGATGGCCCCGCCCTTACGCGTCATCCTGCGTCCCCCCCTCCTCCCCCTCCCCCCAGTCTGCAGTGGCGGCGGCGGCAGCTCAGCCACCGATCTGGTCTTCCTCATTGATGGGTCCAAGAGCGTGCGGCCGGAGAACTTTGAACTGGTGAAGAAATTCATCAACCAGATCGTGGACACGCTGGACGTGTCGGACCGGCTGGCGCAGGTGGGGCTGGTGCAGTACTCGAGCTCCGTCCGCCAGGAGTTCCCGCTGGGCCGCTTCCACACCAAGAAGGACATCAAGGCGGCCGTGCGGAACATGTCCTACATGGAGAAGGGCACCATGACCGGCGCCGCCCTCAAGTACCTCATCGACAATTCCTTCACGGTCTCCAGTGGGGCCAGGCCCGGCGCCCAGAAGGTGGGCATCGTCTTCACGGATGGCCGGAGCCAGGACTACATTAACGATGCTGCCAAGAAGGCCAAAGACCTCGGTAGGTGCCGCACCAAGGATGCCCAGGGGCACAGTGAGCACAGACCACCCGTGGTTGATCCCAGCGTCTTCTGATCAGGGCCGTAGCAGGTGCATCTGACGCGGGAGAGCGGGTTGGCTAGTCCAGCTCTCTCTTAGGCTGGTGACAAAGCTGGGACCCCAGAGGAGACAGGGGCTTGTTCCGGTGGTCATTCTGGAGGACAGGCCTAGGATCTTTCCAGTTGGGAATGTTGGTCCCCAAGAGTACATCAGCTGTTGCAGGGCAGCCCCACCATGGGGCGAGCCCCAGCCTCAGTTTCAGCTCCGATTAAGTGAGACAAGCCATAACCACCAGATGTATGGTTTTGAGGGTCCACCAAGCCCGCAGCACGAAGCTGCCAGCACGGGGGTCCATACAGGGTCTGACACATGGTGTCGCTGCCTCCTAGTCCCCACCGCAGGCACTGGGCCTGCAATTCCAGCGGTGGCCACCAGGGGCACAGGTGTTGTGTTTGCGCCTAGATGCTCCGCCCCCCGCCTGCCCGCCAGCTTACTCACCGGGTTCTTCCCGCAGGCTTTAAGATGTTTGCCGTGGGCGTGGGCAACGCGGTGGAGGACGAGCTCCGGGAGATCGCCTCGGAGCCCGTGGCGGAGCACTACTTCTACACGGCTGACTTTAAGACCATCACCCAGATCGGCAAGAAGCTGCAGAAGAGGATCTGCGTGGGTGAGTGAGGCGGGACTGGCATCCACGGAGGGGGCAGGTGCGCCGGGCTCCAAGGGTGTGGGTGGGGAAAGCAAGGGCCGGGGCGCCCTGGGGAGGCGGGCTGGCCAGCTCGGTTTGACTTCCAGCAGACAAATAATACAGAGGCTGGCTACACACACGGCGGTTCCCACTCCAAACATCACACCATTCTCTCCTAGTTGGTAGGAACACATTGCCCCCGTTTTACAGATGGGAAAACCAAGGGCGGAGGGGTGGAGCAACTGGTCATGAGTGGGGGGGCTGGTGCTCCCCGGTGGTGGCAGAGCACCGGCTCCGGAGGCAGCCGAGCCTGCATTGGCATCTTCGCTGGCACCGATGGCCAGGGAGGGGTTGTTTCCCTTCCTGGTGTCTTCATGCGTCAGATGAGATGACGGATGGGCGAGGCGTCTCCTTGGTGACACAGTGGCCCCCAGCGGTGTCCTGCGAGTAGTAGGTGCTCCGCGGGGCTCTGGTGTCTCCGCCCCTCCCTGCTGCCAGTCCCCCTGGTCCTGGCCCCCAGACAGAGAGCAGTCCCCCGCACTCTGAGCAGCCCCTCCAAGCTGCTTTCTCTTGTCCACTGCAGAGGAAGACCCGTGTGCCTGCCAGTCCATCATGAAGTTCCAGGCCACAGTGGACGGGCTGCTGCAGGCTCTCACCAGGAAACATATCCTTTCCCAGCAGCCTCTGCGGGCGGCCCAGGGGTGGGGGCACGGACCCTGGTGGGGGGAGGGAGCAGCTTAGGGGGGCATGGGCTACGGGACAGGCAAGGTGGAGGGGGGGCGTTGGATTCTGGCCAGATGGGCTGGTGCCAGCATTGGGACATACCCCGCTGAGGCAGAGGCTCCTAAAGGGTCCATGGAGAAACTGAGGCAGAAGCCAAGGCGTAGAGCAGGCGTAGGGAGGCTTGTTCTTTGCCAAGGGCCACGTGCATATTTATGACATCATTCTGGACTGCACAGAATTACCAGCTTAAAAATGAACCTGCCATGATGTACTGAATTTTCAATCGCACCTGCGGTTGCCTTGGCAGAGCCACACCCAGTGGGCTCATGGGCCTCGCACAGCCCATGGGCTGGACATGCCTGACCCCTGCTGGGGGCTGGACGCACCCACAGGCCGGGTGGACCCGAGGGCCCGTGGGTCCCGTTTCTCGGAGGCAATAGACTGACACCAGCCTCCGCTCAGAGGAGGGGCTGGGCCCTGGCAGCTCCCCTGGCTGAGCCAGGACAAGGCGGGGGGCGCCGGCGGGGTTGCCGCAGACACCAGGGCCCTCGGGCACTGGCTGTAGTTTTGGGGAAGTACCTCTCTGAGCACAGCAAGTGGATCGGTTTCGATAGAGGGGTACACCTGCGCTGGGGGGGGGGGGGCGAGTGAGAATGCTCTGGAAGAGAGTTTGTTTCCTCTGAGGGGAAGTGGGGTCCAGGTCCAGGGCTGCCCCCTCCTGGCCCCGCTGTGGCCACCTGCACCTGTCCTTAACTCCCAGCGCACTGGAAGTTGTGAGCAAGCGGCTGGCTGTCTTGGAGAACAGAATCGTCTAGGCCTGCTGCAGCCTCCCTGCCTCTCCAGCCCGAGCCTGGCTTCGCGAGTCCTGTGTGTGCCCCCTGAAGCCTCGAGTGTAGTCTAGCTTGGCCATTTCCGTGTGTGGGGCCCTGGAAGTATCAGCCGCCACCCCAGCCTCTGCCACCCTGCCAGCTTGGGAGTTGGGGGGGCGGGGGGTCCGTGTGTACCTGTTGGAGTGTGTGACAGCATTGGGAGCTTGTGTGTGTGTGTGTGTGCACACGTGTGTGCATGTGTGAGTGTGAGCATGGGTGTATGTCTGGGAGCGGGAACGTGTGTGTACCAGTGAGACCCCAGGGGTGAGTGGGACAGGGACTGCATTTGCAATTTTTTCCTATCAAAAGCTTAATATATTCCTATTTTTTTAGTTAACCCTTTCTTGACTCCACGTGCTGTGAATCTCTCTTTTGATTTCTCTATCCCCTGGTGACAAATGATTAAATGTGATTTAACTTGAGCCTGAGTGGGGGCTTGGGGCATCGTGGTTATTGGGGCACAAGACAAAGGATGGGCGAAGGCGGCCTTGTTTCCTCCTCCCAGGATCTGCACCCAGGACAGCTTTGAATCATACCCACTTTGCAGAAGGGAAAACTGAGTGTCTGAGTGATGCAGTGGGGGGACAGCTGGAGGGACAGGCCTGCAGGACATCACAGGGAGGCGATGTCAGAGACACAGGGCAGGGGCACCAGATGGGACTCCCTTGTTCATTCATTCACTCGCTCGTTCACTCAGGCGTCAAATCCCCCAGCCTAGCCCATGTCGGGCAGGGTGGCGATGCTGGCCTACGAGGCAGACACAGTCCCCGCCCTCTGGGGACTCACGGTCACACCCATCCCAGGGCAGGTTCAGGATGTGGCCGGGTTTGTGCCTCTTCTCTGGATGTGGGGGCTGTGGGGCAGCCGACTGAGGTGGCGGGAGGGCTCTGGCCTGAGCCTGGACTGGCCCGAGGGGCGCCGCCCACACCCCTGCTGGGGTCCTCTCTGCTGTTACCTCGTGTATCTGTGATGTCACTGCATCCCCATCACTCTAGGTGGCAGCCCCACTGCAGGGAACGCCAGCCACACCCTGAGAACCTCCCCCCTAGCCCTCAGGTCCTTGTGGAGCAGCGCTGCTCAGAGTGGGAGCCGCAGTGGCTTCGGAGGCGTCTCCCGGCACGGAGCAGTTTTGGTGCTACCCCTACACTTAAACCTGCGCGTGTGAAAGGCTTTTGCAGGAAGCTGAGATCACCCCCAGAGACCTCCTCAGAGGCGGTTCAGGGAGGCGGCTTAACCCTGACCACACCCTGGAGCTGCCTCAGGACAGGCACCTGAGACACGGCCGCTGCCCACTCCCAACCCTAAGACCTCCTCCTAGCCTCCCCCTCTCCCCCAGCCTCCCTTTCTCTGTGCCAGGCCCTGGGGGAGGGTTCCTGGCTGTCTCTGGAGGCTCCTTGTTACAGCCCCTGAACGGAGATTGCTCAGCCAGTACTTCTTTTCTGAGGTTATCTGCTCCCCCCACCCCCACAGGGCGGGCGGGGAGCCAGAGCCATTCCAATGCAGTGCATCCCTGTCCCCTGCCCTTGCTGAATGGTCAGTGGGTGGACCACCTGGCCCAAGCTGAGCCAGGCAGCACCCCTCTTCCGGAAATGCAGACATGGAGACCCCAGTTTCCGGGCCAGTGGTGCTGGAGCGGAGAAAGTCTCTGTCTTCTTCCAGGTGCCATAAAAGGCGGGGCCTGGAGGCTGCTGTCCTCAGGAGCGGGGCTGCTGAGGGCCTTCCTGCCCAAGGTGTCTCAGCGAGCTGTTGCTGTGTAACAAGCTGCCCCAAAACGCAGAGTCACAAAACCACCTCCTACTGTCCCATTCTGTGGGTTGCCTGGGCTCAGCTGGGTGGTTCTTCTGCTCCCAGTGGAGTCGGCTGGGACTGCAGTCAACTGTGTCCTGATGGGGCTGGAAGACACAGCGTGGCCCACTCATCTTGGTTCCTTGTTGCAGATGTCTGGAAGGCTGGGTCAGCCCCCGTCCTGGCCCCCCGCCCAGGCATAGTCTCAGGGTCTTCCTGACCTCCACGTGGGCTCCCCTGCAGGGGAACTGGACTGCCTATGAGGCAGCACAGAGCTTCCAGAAGCTTCTTAGGGCCGAGCCCCCACAAGGACAGGACATGGCTTTCACTGCATCTTCTTGGTCTGAGAAGCTGTCATTCAGTCTAGGTTCAAGGTTGGGGAGACAAAGTGCTTTCCTGCGGCAGGGGAGGGACAAAGAACTTGCAGCCCTCTTGACTCACTGCATGGTGTGGTTCACTGGTCTCCTTCATTGGACCTGGCTGTGGCCCCTGCCTGTGACAATCCCAACACCCAGGGAACGTTTTCTGTAAAGTTAAACTTGGCTGAGTAAGTGTCTGTGAGAGGGGCCTCACTCAGCTGTCCCCTTTCACCTCCTTCTGCCCCTGTGACAGACAGCCTGGGTGTCTTGGTTCACATCCTTGGTTCCGGGAAGTGACAGGACAGCCTCTGTGCCCCCGCTCTGCCACCTGGTGCCTGGCAGGGCCCTTCCCCTGTCTGCTGCATCCCACAGTCTCAGCCATGGGGAGGAAACCCTAGCGCTTTGCAGTGGTTGATGAGGAAGTGAGTGGGGGCCCTCAGCACAGGGCCCAGGGGGCAGGAGGCCACCACATGGGGGACATCCACACCTGTCAGGTCCTCAACAGCTCCCTTGTCTCTTGAGATGCTGTGGCCACCTGGCCTCCTGTGGCTGTGCCTCCTGGGTGGGTGGGGGGCACCCGTTACCTGCTGGGAAGCCATCCCAGAATGTGCACCGTGGCTCTGTGCAAGGCACCCGCTCCTCCATGGGGAGCTGAGCCCATGAGCACCCCCACCCCCTGCTGCACAGAGGCAAAGGGGAGCACAGCCATTCTCTGGGTTGAGCAGCGGCAGCCTGCGTGTGCCAGGGCTCAGGTGGGCGGAGTGTAGAGGGCGGGGAGCAATGTTTGTAGCACATCCATGCCAGGCCTGGTCTGGGCACCAGGGATGGAATGGAGGACACAGACAGACACGTCTCCATGTGATGAGCTTCTTACGACTACAGTGAGATAGCTGAGGCAGGCTACGCTGGTCAAGAACCGAGGCTCATTGTGCTGGGTGGTTCGGGGCTGCAGCGCCCAGGGCCCCGTGGTGATGGTTTTTTTGCTGGCGGAGTCCCTGGGTGGTGCTCAGCCTCACGTGGCCAGATGCAGGGAGTGCACGGGTCTGTCTGTCTGTCTGTGTGGCCCCTCTCTGGGAAGCCACAAGGATTCAATCCCAGGGTCCCTCCCCTGGCGGCCTCATCTAAGTCCCAAGACCCCACGTCTAAGCGCCAGGGTCGGATTCAGTTCCCACCTTGATGCGTTTAACACAAGACCTTGGGATGTGGCTCCTGCATGTGTTCGAGGGTGACAAGTCCCTCTCGAGCCCCCGGGTCCCCGTCTCCATGCTCTTGCTGGGCAAGCCTGGACATGGTTAGCTCATCTCACGGGAGCCTTGGTTCTCCTTCTCTGTGAAATGGAGATATGACCCAGGATTGAGAAATAAGCCAGGAGAATTCGCTAAACAGGCACTGGCATATTCTCAAGGACCTGGGTTCAACTAAGGGCGAGGCGCCGGGGGGCACCTGCTGGGCCCAGGGGAGGCTGCCGGCTCTGGGATGCCAGGAGATGTCCACCAGGGCCATCGGGAGCCCTCTTTGGAGCCACTCAAATTCCTTCACCCTTGACCTCAGCTTCCCCGGCAGTAAACTGACTCACAGAGAGGCTATGCTGGGAGCACCTGGAGCAGGTGCAGGGCATGGCATGGATGTGGGGGTCCTGCCGGCTCCTGGGGGGTGGGTCTGTGGGGAGCGGGCTGGAGGGACCTAGAGGGGAGCAAAGCCATCAGGGGAAATGTGGAGAGGAGGGAGGGGGAAGGGAGCAGGGGACTGAGGGCTGTGGGGCTCTAGGGGCAGGTGCCTTCTCATTCATTCGTTCATTCGTGGAGCATTTATTAAGCACTGCCAAAGTGCCAGGCACATACCAGGCCCTGGGGAGGAGACAGGCACTGCTCTGGGCCTGTGGCCTCATGTGGCCCCTGGTCTCCCAGGAGACAGACATGACTGGAAGATGCCCGGAGAGCCAGCTGGGCCAGCAGGAGGGAGGGGCTGGGGCAGCAGGGGACAGGGCAGAGAGGGACCTGGGTGGGGTCTGAAGGCTGTTTAGGGGAGAGGGTTGGGGGGATGAGGCAGGAAGGCAAAGTCTTTGGGAGGGCCGGGGCCAGCTCCCTGCGGCTGCCGGGGCAGCCAGGCGCAGCAGGCGGCCAAAGATCAGGCTGCTCAGGGGCGGCCGTGCCAGCTGTGGCTTTTCGGGGACCTTGGGCTTGCCCTGGAGGTGGCACGAGGCCCCCGTGGGGTGGCAAGGCAAGAGGCTGAGTGGGCAGATTCTCCCGCCACCAAGGCGGGGAGCTGCAGATGTGTCACGCATCCGGGGGTGCGGTGGTCCCATGTGGGGCAGCTGACCTGGCACAGGCTCTGGGTTTGAATCCTTACCAGTGGTGGGACTCGTCAAGATAGGGGCGTCCCAGAGATTCTTGGGTTTCCGTCCCAACCGCAGGTAACTGGGTTTGGGCTGTGATAGCCACGCCCTGGCGCACAGCAGGTGCTCGGCAGACTTCTCCCATCCTCCGCCTGGGCAGCCAGCAGCCTCATGCTGGGCAGGGCCTACAGCAGGTCCTGTTTAGACTGCAGCTGAACCCAGTGCCTGAGAGCAGAGAGGGGGCAGGTGTGATCCTCAGGGAAGGGGCTGGGGGGCCAGGCAGGGAGTGAGGGCCCCGCCAAGCAGGCTTGCACTGGGAGAAGGTGCTGGGTGAGGAGACAGATCGGAGCCCCGTGCCAGGGAGGGGCTGCGGGCCGGGGGACGTCCTGGGTCAGAGACCGACCTGGTGGGTCTGGGGCCCCTGGTGGGCCGGGGGCCAGGCTGAGTCGTTGGCTCTGGGATCTGGGCCTTGGGCAGAGCCTTAGGCTGTTTCACAAAAGCAAAGAATGGTACACGAGGGGTCATGTGTGCCCAGAACGGCCATGGACGGGAGGGGGTGCTTCCTGTTCTCAGTATTCTGGCCAGAGGAATTCCCCAGCAGGGCAGAGATTGGGAAACATAGCTGGGGGTGGGGTGGAGAACAGGCAAGGTCGCCGGTGGCGGGGGCAGGGGGTGGCTGTATCTCAGTGCCAGGCACCATCGTGGGTAAGCTGGGGCCCTGGGCGGCAGTGGCCACGCCTACTGAGACGTCGTCAGGCCATGGTCTCTGTCTGTCCTTGGCTGTGGCCTCTACTGTATGGCCTCAGCCTCGTGCTCAGGCAGGGCTCTCCGGCAGCGCCACGCTTACCTGCCTCGAGCTTTAGGTTCACCGAGTTCCGCCTTGCCAGCTCAGATCGCATCTTGTGGTTCTCCTGGTACCATCCTGCGGCCAGGGCGAGGCAGGGCTCTGACGGGCCAGGTCTGGGGCACTGCCCATCCCTTGAGCCAGGAGTGGAGGCAGGTGCACAACCTCCCAGAACTGGGAAGGCAGGGCGGTGGTTCCTCAAGGGGAGGGGCTGGCATTGGATGCCAGGATCTGGAAGCTGGGTGGGCGGAGCCACTGGTGTCCCCCCTCCCCGACCCCCGATGGGTGGGGCCAGAGACAGGTGGAAGCCGAGGCATTGGCTGGCGTTAGTTCTTCCAGAGTCAGGCTCCTCCAGCATCAGGGGCCTCAACCTGGGGTCTTTGACCCCCGAAATGCCTGCCGCTAGCACATCCCCATTCTTCTGACATCCACTCCCGATCCTCTCAAACCCACTCTTCCATCTAACTTCTGCGGATCTTGATTCACAGAAGGTTATAAAGAAATTGGAGGAGGAAAGAGCACCAGGACTCGGTCTCCGGGGGCAGCGGGGCAGCCCAGCTTATGGGCAGGTGGCAAGTTACTGTGTAACGCACAGCTTTGCTGTTCTGAATTGTGCATGGATAAACAGGACTGAACCAGTTAAGATCTTCCCCCTTCTTTCCTGACGCCTTGGACTGCAGTGGGAGTCCCTGGGCCCCGCGGCAAGTTGGTTACCAGGTTTCAGTTACGGTTTGTATCGGCTATTGGGGTCCAATGAATGGATTTACAAGATGGGAGGAAGGCGCAGTACGCCATGGGGTTTGTTTTGCATGTCTCCTCTTTTAATTACACTTCTCTCCTGAACCAATCCTCTTTGAAAAAAGCCATGGAGGTGGAGCATCCCAATAACCCATCTGTTCCAGATGCGAATGCAATTAATTCAAGAGGAGACAGGAGCGGCTCGGCTTCCTGCCGCCTGAGCTGGACCCGCCCCTCTGCAGAGCTGCCTGCAAGCCGGGGGCGGTTGGGTCACTGGGGTCTGTGGACAAGGGGAGGGGACCTCTCTGCTCATAGGCTTGGCAGCCATTGAGTTACTGCTTTTTTCAAATTTTTATTTTCAAATTTATTTTTAAGAGATTTTATTATTCACTTTGAAAGGTAGAGTTACAGACAGAGAGAGAGAGAGAGAGAGAGAGAGAGAGAGAGAGTTCTTCCACCTGCTGATTAACTCCCCAGATGGCCACAACGGAGGGGGCTGGGTCAGGCTGAAGCCAGGAGCCAGGATCCTCCTCTGGGTCTCCCACATGGGTGCAGAGGCCCAAGCACTTGGGCCATCCTCCACTGCTTTCCTAGGCCATTAACAGGGAGATGGATCAGAAGTGGAGCAGGTGGGACTCAAACCGGCACCCACTTGGGATGCTGGCACTGCAGGCAGCAGCTTAACCTATTACACAACTCCGGCCCCTGAGTTACTGGTCTTTAAAAGTAAAATTAAAAATATATATATATTTGAAAGGCAGAGAGACACAGAGATAGAGAGAGACCCAGAGAGATCATCCATCCAAACACCCATCACAGCTAGGGCTGACCCAGGCGCCTGGAACTGCATCCGGGTCTCCCGTGTGGGTGGTGGGGACTCTGGTACTATGTCCATCGTGTGCTGGAATTGGAAGTGGAGCTGGGACTTGAACCCAGGCACTCTGATGCGGGACGCAGGTGTCCCCGCGGTGTCTTAACCACGGCAGCAAGTGTGCCACCGTGGGTTCCTGGGTGCTGGGTGTTCTAGTGATGGACATGCACTTGCAAGCCCACCTTCTCAGGGAAGCTGTTCCACAGACGGGGCAGCCAGGCTGTGAGCTGTGAGGCATCACGTGGTCAGCGGCAGGGCCAGGACTGGAACCCTGGGCTCTGGCTCCAGAGCTAGGGCTTCTTCCAGACCAGAGCCTCTCTGATGGCCAGATTCAGTGTGGCGGAGTTGGGGCCATGGCAGGCTAACTGGCCTCCCAGCCTTGTGCGCCTGTGCCCTGACTTCAGCGTGACGGTCCTCCAGTGCCCAGCCGATCCGGCCATACCCCTGCTCAAGAACTGAGGCCGGCCAGTGGGCCTGGGGGTCTGTGGGCAACCCAGACGTAGGTGGAACGTCCACAAGCAGGCTGCCCGCAGTGGCTGGTATCTCCCCCACTGTAGCTCCTTGTGCTGCACCTGTGACCTTGTGGTTTTAGGTCATGCCTGCAGGCTGCTTGCAATCTTTTACCCAGCCCCATAGAATGAACCAATGAACAGGTAGTAATGATGCCTTAAAAACACTGGGGCCGGCCTGAAAGCCAGCGTCCCACGGGGGCACTCCGCCTGCTCTCCTCTCGGGCTGGACGCTTTTCTGCCGCTTGCCAATCAAATAAAAGTACCGGCTTCTTTGCAAATGTTTCCCAGATTTTTATCTCTATATTGAGCTGAGGAAAAGAACCCATGAAACTCACTCGGGCAACTGCCCCTCCCCTCCAAGACCGGTAACAAGAACCTCCAATGGCTCGCTACTGCCACCTAGAGGAGGTGCAAAATTAAGCCTGGCACTGTAAGCTCTGGTCTAGCCGTTGCCTGGCTCTTGGTCTCACTTCTCATCATGGTCATTGCACGAGGCCACCTCTGGAGACCTGGAATTGGAGACACTGAGGCGCTGAGCGCTGAAGTCCCCTGTGCAGATGGCACGTGCAGGCTGGAGGTCTGGAAAGGCTGCAGCTCACCAGGCTGTGACAAAGGAGCAGGGTGCCAGGCTGCAGGGATCGCTCTGCGTGGGTCACCCCACTGAGGTGACCACGTCTGGGACAGGAGCACAGAAGTCATGTGGTGAAGCCTCAGGGCGTTCTTCCATTCTCCAAATGCTTCCTGAGAACCTGCAGGTGCAAGTGGAACCAGCACCAGAAGCTTCCAGAAGCTTCCAGGCTCTTTGGCACCATGCATGGAGCAGGAGCTCAGGAAGCAGTGACAATCATAAAACCAGAGCAGCCGTTTATTTAATAATCAATTATCAAATAAGCTAGAGAGAGAGAGAGAGAGAGAGAGCGAGAGAGCGAGCTTCCACCTGTTGGTTCATTCCCAAAATGGCTGCAGCAGCTGGGGCTGGGCCAGGCTGCAGCTGGGGCCAGGAACACACTCTGGGCTTCCCAGTGTGGCAGGGATGCAGCCGTAGTGCAAGCGCCTGCCCAGTGGCCCTCTGTTGGCCCTGGGTGACGTGCTGGCTGCACGTGGCTGTCCCTGCTCCCTCGGGGGCCCCGACGTTCTGATAGTTCTGCTAACTTGGCCCAGACTGAGCAGCGAGTAGGGGCTCAAGCAGGATTTGAACTCGGGATTTCAGAGGCCGGACTCTGTGCTCTAAGGCGGGCTCCTCCATTTCTGTGGTTATGATGGAGGATGGACTTGGGGGGCAAGGGTGCAGGCAAGGCCCGAATAGGGGCGCAAACTGGAAAGAGATGGAAATGTTGAGGCCAAAGCAGCTGCCAGGCTAAGGGTCCATGCTTACTGAGCACCTACTGTATGCAGACCAGGCCTCAGCCGGATCACTTCTCGCCACGCCCAGCATGTGCTCATCCTTCCGATCCACAGATGAGGAGACCAGGGTGGAGAGGGTTGCAGGAGCCTGCTGGGTGCGCCGTGGCTGGTGGGTGACAGAGCTGGGCCCAGAGCTGCTCTCGCCGACTCGTGAGTCAGGTGCTCCCCACCCCAGAGGCAGCTGAGCCCTCTAACACAGTGTGTGACAGTGCACTGCCAAGAGGAGGCAACGCTACAAAGGAGTCCCGTGCTTGGGACGGGGGACCGGAAGCTGCAGCCACTGTTTCATCCAGCAGGGAGCACCATGGCTTTTGCTGCCCTTTATCTGCTCTGGGGAGCCTGACAATGAGAGTGGTGGTGGGGGTCATATGAATGCAGGGAGGACTGCCCATGGAGGAGGGCTGAGGACAGCCACCGGAGCAGGATGTGGGCTGGAGCAGGTGCGGGGGGACACTGGCTGTCGCCCTAGGGAGCCCAGCATGGCCCTGGCTACATCTGTCATTGCAGACTAGATTCGAGCCAGTGCACGGTGGGGCGCGAGGCCTGAGTGGGACGGAGCGGCGTTCCTACCTAGCGACAGTGACCAGTCTGGCTGTCACTTCATTGTTGACAAGTGCAGGTGAAATCGAAATGGCATCAGTCCCATTTTACAGATGGCACATCGAGGCTCAGAGACAGGAAGCGACTCACCCAAATCATGCCAGGTGGAGCCGGGGGAGGAAGCCAGGCCTGTTGGGATCCAGGGGCCTCCTGTAGCCAGTGATCTTTGCTGCTGCTGGCGTGAGGGTTTTTGAGCTTGTTTCTCTATCTGTGAAATGGGCCCAAGATGATCTCCAGGATTGCCTTGGCCTTGGGACTATGGCATCAAGCCCTGAAAAGTTGGTTGATTGTTACTGTCTGTGGTTCAGGTGCACAATTTGATGTACTTTTCAGCGAGGTGATGGTGGCTGTGGAATGATGGGATCTCAGTGGGATTGGAATTGCAAGCCTTGGGGCTGTCATAGAGGCTTCTGGCCACAGGGTGGCACCATCAGCCCATGAATGGGGCGGCCGGGCCTGGCTGGGGGATGGGGTTCAGCCGCTGTGGGTCGCGGTGATTCTGGGCTAGCTCTGATCACTTGTGGCGCCTTCAGCACCTACTCGAATCCGGCTAACTCCCTTCCTACTCCTAACAAAGGCCTCTGGAGGTGGTGGTGATTCCTTGCAAGGGACGGGGCCACAGGGGAGGGTGTCCCCAGAGACCGTGGTATCCTCAGATCCTGCCCCAGGCTCTGAGATGCCTTTGAGGGCCTGGCTGGGTGCATCCCTGTGCAGAGGCTTTGCTGGACCAGGGGGTGGCAGCGGAGACCTCAGGTGGGGGTGGGGTGGGGGCCGAGCAGGAGCCCCAGGGAGGCCTCTGACTGTGCCCCACCCTCTTGTGTTCCTGTGGGCAGGCCAGAGCTAGCTACAGCTGGGGCCAGGGGAGGGGGAGCATCTAGGGGCCCCAAGACAGCACGGAGGACTGTGGACCCTGCGGGCCCAGGTCCTGGGTGGGAGTGGTCTGTCCCGCGTGCCGCCTGGCTGGGCCGTGACTGTACCTGGAGGGCTCCGTGGCTCACCTGGGAAGTGGAGCACGACCTTGCTGGGGCAGGCTGGGAGGAGGCAAGGAGAGTGATGTGCAGGGCCCGGCAGGTGCCGAGGGCGGGGTAGGGGTGGGGTGGGGTGGGGCTGCACCTTCCAGGCTGCGGCACCTGCACAGCAGCGAGGGTCTGGCCCAGGGCCTCTGCACGGCTCACAGGTTCCCACTGGGGCTGCCAGGAGGAGGCGGGGCCCCTCTGCATTGCCAGCTGCGCTTCCCTCACTCGTCGGGAGACTGACAGCAGCCGAAGAAGACCCCTTCCCTGGGTCCCTGCGCGGTGGCCCCTCCCTGCCCCCCCCCCCGCCTCTGTGGGAAGCGCAGGTGACAGGAGGCGGGGGCCGCAGGGGGAGGGGGGTGTGAGTGTGGGGGTGGGGACAGGAGAAAAGCTGGGGGCAGGGGGGAGCCTCCTCCAGCACAGGGCTGTGTGGCCAGGGCTGGGCTGCCCCTGGGGCGCTCCCAGGGCTGGGCTGCAGGCCGTGCTCAAAGCTGGGGGGCCTGATGTGGAGAGGCTCCCGGAGGTGCCGCCAGGCTTTGTCTTAGGCTGGCGGCCATCAAGTTCCCCCATGTCCAGTCTTCCTCCGCCAGCGGCCGCTCTTGCTGGTCTGGGTGGGGCTTTGGGCCTCAGCGACAGCATCTTGTTCCTTGGGGGGTTTCCCCGCAGGGCCCAGCGGGGAGCAGCTGTGCCCACAGTGAGTGTGTCTCTTGAATGGCTGGGTGGAAGGGTGGGTGGATGGATGCACAAAGCAGGTCAGGAGTGAGGGCCCAGGTAAAGGGGAGCCAAAGAAGAGGGCTCAGAGCCCAGCCCGGCCCCGAGGCTGCCTCGGCCCGCGTTTGTAGGTGTGCCAGCTTCAAGGTCTCATGTGAACCCTCACACCATCAACTGAGGGGTCAGCCCTCCCATTGTACAGATGAGAAAACTGAGGCTGAGAGACGCCCATGGCCAGGCATCTCAGAAGTGCAATGCCTGGATCGAAGCCTCTGTCCCCACATTCGTAGTCCAGGGCCCTTCCTGGAGCTCATGGCCCGGCCCGAGCCCCACATCTGCCTGACGGGCCCTGGAACTGCCAGTTGTTTTCTGCTGTGTCGCCTAAGGCACGAGGAAGATCTCGTGGTTCGCAGGCAGAGAGGCCTGCTGGGAATCCTGCCCCTGCCCTGATGACTCGGCTCCGCCACATCCTCTCATCGGAAAGGTGGGGGCAGCACGAGTGCCCAGGGCTGTGGGGAGAATGACCTGAAGCCATGTGGGAGCCCTTGTCACCTGCCTGTGAGGATGAGGGCCCCATGCTCCTCCCCCTTGTCCCCGCTCATCCCTTCTCTCCCGGGACGCCCCTCCCTCAGGCTCTTAAGGTCCCAGTTCCTCCTCCTGAGTCCCTTGGAGCTGCACAGGCTCTGGGGCCCGAGACGTCCCCTGGCCATGTCCAGGAACCACCTGTTCCCTCTGTGTGTTCGGCCACTGCAGCTGTGGGGGATGGGGGCTCTGCCTAACCTCACACTGAAGCCACAGCCTGCTGGCTGGGTCCGGGGTAGGGGAGGGGCAGAGGCAGCCAGGGCAGTGCCTATGAGAGGTGTCCAGTTGGGCGCCAGGGCTGCAGGGAGCAGATTGGTGGGTGCTCCCGGCCTGGCACTAAGTGACATTCCTCTCCCATCCTGACGTCTGTTCCCGGCTGTGGGGTCACCCTGTTCCTCTCCTCTGTGCATGTGAGCGAGGCCCTGCGTGTGTCTCCGGGTTGAGGCAGGCCCACCAGGCTGTGGGGTGAGGGGCTGAGCGTGTGCGTAGGGGCAGCTGGCAGGGTATGAGGGTGTCTCTGTCCAAGGGCTGGGCATCTGGGATCCCTGGATGCCTCCTCCCCTGCCCCCCTGGGTAACTGAGCCCCTGGTGGCCACAGACCCACCTGTGTTGGGCCTGGGTGGTTTGTGGCTTGGGCTCCTGATGGGAGATATGGGGGTGAGCCAGGTGGGGGAAGGATGGAGCAGGGAACTCAGAGGAACACCATGGTCAAGGCCGGTCTCCCCTCCCCTCCCCTTCCTTACCTGGTGGGAGTGCTTCCCACACTGGGGGTCCCATTCAGAGCAGGTGGGGTGCACAGCATCTTGGAACTGGAGCAGCTTTCGTGAGCCCAAGGACGCTGCGACAGAATCTTCAACGTGCAGGCTGGCAGGCTGTGGGCATCCGTCTTCACCGGGGAATCCTGGGAGTGCAGGATCGCAGGTGCCTACGCTTAGGAATCTCTGCAAATGACCTGGCTCAACACAGATTCCTTCTGAGACACTGGGAGTTGAAATAGGTGTCCCGGGCTCAGGATGTTAGCCCAGGGGTGACCTCGGCCCGACTCCCTCCTGCTCCCCAGGACGTCCCCTTGCTGTGCTGCAGTGACCCAGGCACTGCTGGGGACGGGGAGCCCCTCACCCACGGGCAGCAGATTCCCCTGCGGGTGCTGAGCCAAGCTCTGCCCTAGGCCGCTCCCCACGCACTTACCCTGCACCTGTTCCCTGACTTCTGCCATCCACACTGAAGAGCTGAGCGTGCAGAACAAGTAACGTCCACACAAGGCAGAGACCAAACCGCCTCCTAACCCCACGGCGACTCTTGAGGGTGACAGGGCGACGGAAGGGGCAGGCGTGACCCCTCCTGGAAGTGACAGTCCACCTCTTCCTCTGCTGCCCTGCCGGGGACTGCAGCCCACCCGGTCTGTTTGGCTTCCACTGGCTCTGGCTCTGCGGGGGCAGAAAAGGGAGCCAGGCACCAATCACGGGAGATGGCGAGATCCGCTTCCGGCCAAAGCCTGGCCAGCAACGGGAGGGAGTGATTGGACTGTTCTGAGCGGGCAGCTGGGTTTGATTAGGTGGTTTTGAATGTCGGCCGGCAGCAGGCTGGGATTGGTGGGAAACCCTAGCCGGGGCTCCGGGCCAGGCCAAGCCGGAAGCACGGGCCCTGTGGCCTGAGAGCCTGGGGCAGTGCCAGCTCTGCCTCTTGCCCGCAAGCTTACAACCTCTGCAGGCCTCAGCGCCCGCTCCCAGGAGGTGATCATGGGCGGGGCCGGGGTGATCTCTAGGCGAGTCCGCTCGGGCAGACTCCTCCCTGCCATCCAGTAACTCCCGCCCTGGCTTCTTCAGAGCGCGCACATCTCACCCCTTCTCCCTTCAGCCATCCCTTCACTCCCTCAGACGGCCCGTTCTCTTGTCCTCTGCCCCCTGGTACATTCATCCATTTGCACTTTTTGGCGTGGTCAGTGTGGCCAGCCAGCTTTCCCCCAGTGACTGGGCCTTGCCTGCTAGCACATGTGTGATCGGAATGGGGGTTTAGCCTAGCCATTAGGACACTGGCATCCCACGTCTCGGTGCCTGGGTTCGAGCCCTGGTCCTGCTTCTGCTTCCAGCTTCCTGGGAATGCACACCCTGGGAGGCAGCAGGTGACTGCTCAAGGAGTTGGGCCTCAGCCACCCATGTGGGAGGCCTGGATGGAGTTCCTGGCTCCTGGCTTCAGCCTGGCCTGGCCCTGGACATCGTAGGCATTTGGGGTGAGCCAGCGGATGGGCGCTCTGTCTGTCTGTCTGTCTGCCTTTCAAAAAACTGGCACTGGGAATTGTAAGGAGCAAGCACGTGGCTTCGTCTGGGTCTTGTGAGCCCCACATCTCGGCCCCTGCTGCTTCCCTGAGTTGGTCACACATGGACTGGGGATTGGTGGGCCTTGGGAGACAGGGCAGAGCCGCCCACATGGAGGGGCACCACGGCCTCTCAGCGGTTCCTGTGACGTGACCAGGGCCAGACGCCCTGCCTGACCCCACCAGGGAAGTGCTTTCATGCCCGGGGAGGGGGCTGAGCACCCTAGGCACTGGGCTGAGAGAAGCCCGTGCACATCCCGTCTGCAGAGAGCAGAGCTGTTTTGCCGAGGTGTGTTGTGGCGTCAGGACGCACAAGAGCAGAGACCTCCCTTTATTCCGGAGGGTCCAGGAGTCCTTTTTCTGGGTGTAGCTCCCTTCTGACCAGGACAGGCTGGTGCTGGGGGCTGGGCCTCTTTCGTGGTTGGCTCTGCTGACCCTGGACGAGCTGTGCGGATCATCATGGCCAAAATCCATTCTGTGTGTCCCAGTGCTCTGGGGACAGCTTGCGCCAAGTGTTCACTGGTCAGCTGCACTGATTCATTGATTTTATGGCCTGTGCTTGAGGTCTCTGGAGCTGTGGCCTGCAGGTGTGCACCCCTGAGCTGGGGGTGTGGGTGGGGGGCCCAGCAGAGGCACTAGTGGGTGCTCACTGATCACCTATCATCCGTGACGTGGTTCTGTCCCCCGCCCCCTCCTTGTTGCGTGGTCCCAAGCCCACCCCATTCATTGCATCTCCTGCCTCCTGGGGGAATCTTTCCCCTCTAGGACGAGTCATTCCTTCTTCTTCCCTCTGTCTGGGACCCAGAACATTTAGTTGTCCTGACACAGGGGCCAGGCTGGCTGCAGCGCCTGGCCTGGGCCCCCGTTCCCTCGCCAGGCTCATCTCCCCTTTCAGCCTGGCCACCGTCTCTCCCCTGAACTCTTGCTCTTCCTGCTGGGCTGTTTGCCGTTCTGCGGCCTGGCCTTCCAGCATCTCCTGTGCTCAGCATCTTCCTCGTCTCCTTTGCAAACCCCATTTCCAAGCTCTGTGATATCCAGGCAGGCCAGGGGAGAAAGGAGAGAATGGGGAGAAGAACAGAAGAAAAGAAAGCAGATGTCATTTTTTTTGGGCTGGGGGTGGAGGCCCAGGGCTTGGAGAGCAGCAGTCGGGGCCTGAGTGACCCAGAGCTGGGGCAGCAGGTGCAGCAGGTGACAGGTGGCTGGGGGGGGGCAGGCCAGCACTACCGGTGGAACCAGCGTTGGTTTTTACGACTCGGCTGCCTGCACACGATGTACTTTCCCTGCTGCTCAGCTCTGGCAAAAACTACCGATTTGCTTGCAGGGAGAGCTCCAGCGTGCAGCCAGCTCTCGTGCCCAGCACAGCTCTGGGTGGGCTGAGTGCGGCCATCTCCGTGCAAACAGCCTTGACCCCTGCTGTGCAGTCACAGAGGCTGATGGCTCCAGGGTGAAGATGGGCTCGCAGCTGGGGCTGGCGGCCTCCGGGTTTTTTCACCCCAAATGGGCCAAGTTTTCCTCCCGACTGTAGACCTTGCTACTGACTGGGCTCAGGGGGCCTCTTGAGAGGGGCGTGCAGGGAAATCGTGCCCACCTCCCACCCCCCACTGGCTGGGGGCTGCAGCCCAAGATCTCATGGGCAGGCGTGGGAATGCAGCAGGTCACAGGGCAGGTGGGCTCGGTGGCCCACAGTCTCCTGCAAAGTCCCTGGCTGGGGGCCCCCGGGGTGTCTCACGTGGCTTCAGCTGCGGTCAGCGGGGAGGCGGGGGAGGCTGTGCTGCTCTCCCTGACTGCCACTGGTCTCTACCCAGGAGGCCTCTGGGGGTGCCTGCAGCTGTCCAGGGGGATGTGGATTCTAGTGCCCGTGCCGAGGAGGCTGCGTCCTCAAGATCCCAGAGCTCCTGTATGCTTAGAGAGAGAGAGAGAGAGAGAGAGAGACCTGGTCTAGTCCCTGCATCTCCCACGTACGGCTGCTCCCCAGCCACCTTGCCTCCCCACTTCCCGGGGATAGGAAGGGCCTGGTCCCAGTGTGTGTGGAGGACCCCAGCCCTGCAGGGCTCCCGTTGGCCTCTCAGGTGGTAAGATACTCAGAGACTAAATCACAATGCAGTCTAAGAGGACCTGTGTGGAGGAAGCCATGAACCGCAGACGCAGAAGACGTTTACTCCACGGAGTACAGAGAAGGCAGGGGGGCCTTCCGGAAGAGGAGGCCTCAAGCCTGGGTTTTGCTGCATCAGTAGGAGTTTGTCTAATGGATAAGGGGAAACAGGCCTTTGGGGAGGCCAGCACTCTCCAGGCGTCTTTCTCCAGCCTGGAACTGCAGGGTGGGAAATCCAGTCTGCTCGCTGCCACCTTGAGGTGTCTAACGGCTTCTCAAACCCAGCTTCCCAGACTGAACCCCCAACACCCTGCTGCACCTGCTGTCCCCAGCCTGCCCCTCGCACAACGCCCGTCCCTGTGACTGCGAACGCCGTGCTTCCTCTGGCTCAGGCTAAAACCCCGGAGTCCCAGCTCCCAGCTCCCACCCCACACCTGACGGAGGTCCCAGAGGAGACGGGGTGGGCTGTGGACCCAGAGGGGCACAGGGGAGCGGTGGGAGGGGGCGGCTCGGCTGGAGGGGACAGGGGCTGTGCAGTAGGGCTCTCTGCCCAGGTGCGACCGGGACCGCTGGGGCTGGCTGCAGTGGAGGCTGGGAGCTGGTTACGAATGAGGTGGGGCTGAGGGAGGGGCAGCAGGGCCTGAGCGAGATCTGGGGCCCTCTCCTCTGCCTGCCGGTTTCCTGTCCTCTCTCCCCCTGGGCCCGGGCTCTCTGTCCTGTCCACCTGGCAGCCAAGGCCAGGGTCTGACTCGCAGGCCCAACCCCAAACTCGACTGCTCTGCCCCTGGTTGGGTGTCCATACAGTCCCCTTCAGCTATGGGTGTGGCCACGCTTCTTCCACACAGTTGTTGGCGCCCATTCCTGGGGTCCAGAGGGTGAGAGTGGGGGGCGAGCCCTGCTTGAGAAGGGGATGGTGGGAGCTGGGGGCTGGGGGACAGTCGGCACAGGGGCACATGGGCTGGAGGAGGCTGTGAGGCCACCAGGAGCTTGGGGGGTGACTCAGGGAGGGGAGCTCTGTCCAGGACAGGAGGGGGCAGCCCCCTGAGTCCAGATACTGGCCCTGCGCAGGGCTGGGTGCGTGTCACTGTGTCCCCTCTCACAGGAAGCAGAAAGCACGCCTCTCTGTCCCTTCCTTGATCCGTGCCCTTTGCCTATGGGAAGAGCAGGCCCGGGAGGGCGGGGCCCACCTGCCCCATTCATCTGTCCTGCAGGGCCAGGAGCACTGCAGGGCCTGTGGCAGGTGCTGGGTGCACGTGGGCGGCAGGTGTCTCAGGGAGGCGAGAGAGCAGGTCCTCGGGAGCAGAGGGCGCCTCAAAGGGCCTGAGCGGGAGCCCCGGCGCTGTCCTTGCTGAGCGCTTCCTCCGCGCTGAGTGCTGCTGTGACAGCAGTCGCGCCCGCCAGCGCCCAGCGCAGGCCCGGAGCTGCCCGCTGCTGTTGTGCGGGGTCCTCGCCCCAGCCTGGCGGAGGTGATGGTGCCCATGTTTTAGCCACAAGCAGCATGAGCTGGAGACGGGACAGTGGAGGTGATGGTGGCTGGGTGGGTCCCGGGGCCAGACCTCATACTACACATGGGGAAACTGAGGCCTGGGTGGGGGCAGGCGCTCGCCTGCTGTGACAGAACCCAGGCCCTCAAGGAGGGAGGAAGATGAGGGCGGCGGGGTCCGAGGCTGTGGGGGTGCCTGGCAGTGTCTGCTCACCAGGGACGCTGGAGTGAGGGTGCGGATCCGGGCTGCTGCCCAGGACACAGTGCAGGTTGGGCTGGTGCGAGGCCATCTGTGGGCTCCAGGGGGTTCACTGGGCAGCACGTGCAGGTGCAAGGAGGGAGATGGGAAGGGAGGGGCTACTCCCTTGAATTCAGATGATGTTGATGATGTCACAGCAGGTGGCTGAAAATAAATATACAAAAAATCACAGCACGACAGCCTCAGCCTGGCGACAGGGCCATCACCCTGCGGATCCATCTGTGTGGAGCTTTCTAAGGTGAAGTGTTGGGAGGCTTCCCTCTGAAGGCAGCCAGGGAAGGAGAGGGCTCAGTGCTGGTCGGGGCAGAGGTGGCTTTTG